TAATTACCTCTTTTTAAGCCTCATCTTAATTTTCTATACCACTCATTGATAACTTTAAAATTTTCCTCCCTTGAATTAATTCTTTAACCCAATTTTCACACCATTACCATCCTACCTTTCTGAATAGCTTTTTTCCAGTTTCCTTCTCCGGTTCTATGTCCTCTGTTTTTCCCTGATGTGTGTATTATGAGCTTACACATTTGGTTTTCTATTTAGTCTATACCTACATTGTTCAATATAGTAACCATTAGCCAAATGTAGTTATTTAAACTTTAATTAAAACTAAAAATTCACATCTTCAGTTGCACTTTGTGTCATTTTAAGTGCTCAATTGCTCAACAGCTTAAAAGTGGCTAGCAGTCACCCTATCATACAGCAAGTTGTATTGGACGGTGCTGGTTAATATATTCCCTTTCCATTCAATTAATATTTATCGAGCACCTGTTGTGCACCAGGCACTGTTCTGGACCCTGGAGATAGAGCACTAAACAAAACTAAGTCCCACTCTTCATGGAGTTGACATGCTAGCAGGAGGAGAAAGACAATAGTTTGTCAGACAGATGAACAATGCCACTCATTCCCAAATCATCGTATGCTGAGAATTCCTATACTCTTGGGCTCCAAACTTGAATTTCCAGCTTCTGCTAGATTTCACCACTTAGATGCCTATGAAGTACTCTAAACTGTGTCCTAAACTGAACTCAGTTATCTTCCTTTTCCTCTCAAACTTCCTTTTTCTGTATTTGTGATTTCTGAGTAACCTTGGACTTTTCCTCTTCTGTCCTACTACATCTAGTCACAAATACTTGTTGAATTTATCTGTCTTAAATCATTTCTACTCTGAGTGTGCTAATTATCTCTTGGCCAAAGCCTCCAAAATTAACTTCACTCTCACTAATTTTTTACATTTCCTTCACTCTTGCCCTAGTTCATCCTAGTCCATCTGCCATTATACTTCTAAAATACAAATCTGATTCTGTAATTTCCCTGCTCAAAAATCACTGGATAAACGCCTAAAGAATAGAACAAACCCCTCCGCGCGAATTTACAGCACTACACCATTTAGTTACAACCTACTTTATCCTTCTAACCTACTCTCCCGCTACACATTGTATTATCCTGCCACACCAAATTACTAGGTCCTTTTAAGCAGCAATCTTTCTCTGAAATTATTTTTTGTTTTTCTCCACTTAAACACAAACAAAAACCACCTCTTCACCCGTAAAGGCGTAGTTCAAATGACATTTGTCTCTGTAGTCTTTACCACCCCCGAGTCTTAATTACTTATTCTCCAGAGCTGCTGTAACACATAACTACTGCAGATCATATTCTCGGCGTCTAGTACAGTGCCTGGGGAACAATATTAAAGAATTAAACTTTTCTAGGTATTAGGTCTGTGTGACACAGGGGAACCAAATTTTCGATTATATTCTTAGGAATCTTTTCTTTCCTCGTAGGATTCAACAACTCGACACGTTGTGTATTCAACACTCAGCAGAAGGTGAGGTCAGTTCGTTATTTTCTCACATTCAAAGCGGGTATACCGATGCTGCCTGAATGGAGGCTTTGCCTGGGAACTAAAAATTCTGAGTCCTCCCCCTCCCCAGCATCTTGGTCCCTTCTTGGAAAGGACGACGAGCAGAACAGGTACGGTGGCTCCAGCAGCCATTGGGAGGAAGACAGAAAGAGAAGATGAAGTGGGGGTGGGGGGGTGTTACAGAATGAGAAGGGAAGAAACAGTCCAACCAGAGAGAAGATGGAGAAAGACATCCCGCTCCTTGACCGTGTGAGGGGCCGACCTACCTAGAGCACCAATCCGTCTTGCTCGCGTCTTTCGGTTCTTCACTTTTGAGTAGCGAACACGCTTTTATCGCTCGGTTTACCTCTTCCGGGGTTCCTTGACAATAAGTTCCGGATCAAGAACTGCGAAGAGACCAGTCATTCTTCCTATCGCTCCACCCACGGGTCCCGAACCGAAATCCTGCGACGATCAGCAGAGGTTGTCGAAAGGAGATGGGAACGTTTCTGTTTTGGAGGCGGTCTCCGGGGAGGGGGGCCGGGCACGGACCGGAAGTGACGCGAACGAGTTCCGGTTGGTCGGAGCCCAGCGGCGGGTGTGAGAGTCGGTCAGGAGCTTCTTCCAGGATCCTGAGATCCGGGGAAGCCCGTGTCAGAGCGGTAAGTAAACGAGCGCGGGGAATCGAGGACGAAAGCCTGAGAGTATCCTCAGAGCTTGGCTTCTTCCGGAGCTCTCCAACTTAGACCGTGCAGTTCTGGGACACAGTGATTTCGACTCCAAGCAGTGTTTTAGGGTGTTGCTGACTCTAGATGTCTCAGTCTGACGGTAGCCAGGTTATTTGGGACACTTCCCTATGGTTGGCCACTGGTACATTAAACCCGTACACTGGACTCCTGACCTTTTGCTTCAGCGCCGCGGATTTGGAAGCCATTCTAAGCTTCTGTAGACTACCCATCTCCTCTTCCTCTCAGAGTGTCTAGGACCTTAGAATAAATGGAGATCTTCCCTGCTGATGACCAAGCTGTTTTTCAGTATGTGTGTCAGTTTGGGTTCTTGCCCTCCCCAACCACTAGCGCGTGACACTAAATGTTTCCACTTCTAAACAAAATTCAGGCGTGCAAATGCCATCTAAAGCGTTGGTGGCCAAGGGAATGGGGCTTTTGCTCCGCAGATCTCTTGCAGAAGACTTTCACGTATCTTCAACTACTTTCAATAACATTCTCTGGCTTTTCCAATCTCTGACACCTCCGATTCATTACAGCGGAGGTATTTGCAACAAAACATGATGATCGGCTTAATCTCTAAAATTCTAAGAAGCCATATGTGGCCCTGTGTCACACTGCTAAGATTACTTAGGATCCCCAGTAGGTTTTATAATGTTTTTTGTTTTTCTGCAAATCCATAGAAAAATCTCAGAATATGCAGGTTGTAACACTGTTTACCTATCTTGGCAACATAGCTCCTTTTCTTAATTTTAATGTCTTTCAATTCTCATTTGAGGCTTGTCAGAAATTTTGTAGATAGATTGCACTAATCTTTTGGAGAATGTTGTAGTGATAGAGAATTTAATGTACCGACTGCTACTACCTATTAATTGTATTATCATTAGTTCTGATTTTAGTTGTATATTCTTAGCATAAATGGTGACAGTAGTAAGAATCTTATTACTAAGCAAATTTTATGCATTCTAGATTATGTTTTTATTGACTTTTGGAAGAGGGATGGTAGTACCCAGACATGTGGCCAATTTACAGATGTGTGAAATGACTCTACAGTAGTCTTTTTTTTTTTTACTTTTATTTTTACTTTTACTTCCATTTTTACTTTTACTTTTATTTTTACTTCTTTGCCTATATTAAAACACTGAAGCCTTTTCTTTTCCTCTGAGGGATATATCCTACTTGATTAATACATTTTATTTTCTGTGACTCACATCCAAGAATAACCAGGTTTCTGAACTACTTCATAAATGGTTTAATGCCTTTTAGCAGTTTACCTATAGCTAGTTTAATCAGTTTGTTGTTTAGTTTATATATTGTTCTTATTTTTATTTTAGAGAAGTTTTTCACACTTGCATGAAACAAGGTGACAACATTTTTGAGAAATGTAATTATATAAATTAGATATTATCATTAGTTTTAACATCTGGTAAATTGGTTTATTAACTGTCAAACCTGATCTTACATTTTATATTCTCTTTGTTTAATTCATTTATACAGGGACTGATTATCCAAATTTTCTCATTCTTTCAACTTCTTCCTGCCTTGGCTTGAATTACCACTTTTTAAGATTGCAAAAGATCATCAAACTTTAAGACCTGGATTGAAGTTTGGGCTCCAACACTTATTGAGTGAAGGTTGGCAGGTTACCTGACTTTCAGAGCTGGTCTGGATTGTGTTCATAAAAGTATGGCTCACTCTATTTCATAGGCTTGTCACAATAATTGAGATAATAAATGTGAAATCTCTATATAAATGAAAATATGGCAATACTGTCAATTTACTCTGAAAGCTGGACATATATCAGTGCAGAATACTGTTACTTTGCATCATTTCAAAATTTGATGTTTTATATTGTGGTATTTTTCTGAAAATATCATCACACATTTTTCTGAGATGATCTTTGCCCTACTTTTTAACAGAAAAAAAGCTAGCCAGGAATAGTTCAATACTGTAATCCATTGAGTTTATCACCTCGTTTAATAAGTAGGTATGTGGAAAATGAGTATAGTTTTGCTTTGGGGAGTTTAAGTCTGATCTTTTTTTGGTCATCTGTATTGTCAATTAAGAATTTCCAAATAAATGCAGAGGAAGCTGAAGTTTTTGGTGCTTATATATAGTTAACTAAAGATTAGAAGTAGCCTTACTTATATTAAGTGAGAAACTTTATCATCTCACTGAAACCTACCAAATGTAATATTTAGAATTAGAAGCAACCTCTGTGAACATATAGTTAGATTTTTCTCATTTAACAGGAGAAAGAGGCCTAGAAACAATTAGTAATTGGCTTGCCTAGGGTCATATGGCTTAGGTAGTGCCAGAACCTGAACTGGAAATGAGATCCCAAGTGTTCTTTCTGTTCTGCTAAGGTTGTCTCCAGCATCCTTATCTGGTTTGGCAATATTTCCTGGTTTACATGAAGATGATTTCTCTTATGTATTAAAAGGATCCAAATGTGTATGTACATTTCCCCCCATTTTTAGCTGACTTAGTCTCGTATATTCTATGAAAACAAAAATACTGTGCTTGGCAAGATTTGCAGTGAAATGTAACAGGGAAAGAAAAGAAAATTAGTTCTATTCTTCAGAAGTGATTCTCAGTTTATGCTTCATTACTATCAGATATAGAGGTATCTTCTTTCTGGCAAATGGAAAAGAGGATCTTTGTGACACATGTCTCTGCTGAGTGAATATTGTTGCTAATGAGTAGGAGGAAGCTGTATTAATTTATTTGCTCCTGCTAAAAAAATTTCCCCAAGCTGTAATTTTAATACTCTGTTATGTTAATTATCTCTTAATCTATAGAGTCATTTCTCTATTTCACTCTGGCTAAATAGCCACTATAGAAGAGTCAATTCTTTGTCTTGTTGGGAACTCTTTTGCTTCTATTGACTTCATAAAACCTATTTAGTCTCTCCTCTTTCTTGGAGATTATAG